AGCTCTCTTCATCTTCTATTCCACCCCCCAGTAAACCTCTTGAACACCTAATCCCACTTTGCCATTTGCTTCATGGCAGATTCAACCTAATGCAGGCTTCCTCGTCAGGTAAATGCTCCCTCTTCCTCTGTGCTACGAGGCTTTTCCCACCTGGAGTGAAGACTGTAATTTGTGGGAATAACGTGGCAGAGGTTGGGGAAACCAGTTCTCTTCATTCTTCCCCCCTGACATCCCTCATTGACTGAATCCTAGCAGCAGTAATGTGCTGGAGACAGCTTCTATCACCTCACAAAAGCCAACTTAAATTTTAAGAAATTTAAATTGGTTGGTAAACACAGTCATTATTAAATACTAAAGGCCCATTGCACGGTATTTGTGAAAGAATAGGCCTTCCTTCCCCTGGTTTCACTCCCAGCCACCTAGGAGCCAGTAAGACCCCTCCCCAGCCACAAGCTGGCAAGTCCTTGCTTCTGTCTGGAGCACCACCCTAGTAGCTCCCTCCACCACTCCCCTTCCTCTCATAACAGGCTTCACACCACTCCTTGCCTGCATATGCAAATTAACCTCCATCTTTGTTGGGTTAATTTGCATACCCACTCTGATTGGCTGTGGGCGCAGTGGAGTGATGGTTAATTTGCACGTTTCTCTTTTATTAGGTAAGAGTCTTAAAGTTAAATAAATTATATTAAGGCCAATGGTAATTAAACACTCAAAAACTCACCAACGCCCATTATTACATATTGAGGACCAGTAGTTTTATTGCTAGCTTTACCCAGTGGCCAGATAAGTTTCTATTGAACGAATACAAAAAATGTTTTACATAAATGTTATAGGCACGCTTTAAAATGAAATACCCATTGCCTTCTGAAGTTATTACATGATCTTACAAGCTAATATCATTTTTAAGTATGGTACTTTGTGTAATATGAAGCAAGAATTCTCGTGATCTGTCCTCAATGTGTTAACAACTTTCCATTATCTCCCATTATCTATGCACCTGAGGTTATTTACATCTCTTATATCTGGACGCTGGAACTAATGTGTAATGGTGCTCTACTTGCACTTGTCTGGATTTCGGAGGCCAGATTTAGATACGCTGTTTCAGCTCTTCTCTTTCGTAACTTGAGAGGTTCCCCACACTGAGGACAGCCTCAAGCAAGAGAAGGCTTTCGCTGGTCCAGAAAGCCATGGCCTCTGATCCACACACCCAGTGGGCTTGACGCACCTGTGGCACACAGGCTCGTTGGCACCCTCAGAAAGCGGATCAGAGCGTGGGCCCCCAGGGGGTTGCCGCCGAGCCAAGAGCTCTGTGGCGCAGAACTGTTTTCCTTTTGAGAAACAAATTTGGATGTGTTGCTTGGCACCAGTAAATATAGCAGTGTGTCAGGAGACATTAGGTAACTAAGCAAATGGTGCTCATCCTAACCTGGGGGTCACCTGATCCACCAAGTCACAGAATCACCTGCCATCGAGTGTGCGTGCACACTGTGCCAGACTGTCTGTCTCCTAAGCACTTCACGTGTCAGGTTGCCTTCAATCCTCCCCACAGTTATCGGTGATAGTGCTATTATTGCTATCATCCCTACTTTATTTTATTATTTTATTATTTTTAAAATATATTTTATTGATTTTTTACACAGAGGAAGGGAGAGAGATAGAGAGCTAGAAACATCGATGAGAGAAAAACATCGATCAGCTGCCTCCCACACCCCCTACACCCCTTCCTGCAACCAAGGTACATGCCCTTGACCGAAATCGAACCCGGGACCCTTCAGTCCGCAGGCCGACGCTCTATCCACTGAGCCAAACGGGTTTCGGCAATCTTCCCTACTTTAGAAAACTGGCACAGAGAGAGGGTAAGCAATTTGTTCTGTGATCATATAGCTCCTAAGTAGCAGAGCTTGATGTGAACCTAGGCCCTTTGGCTCCAGTCTCATTACGAAATTATACTGCTTCTCAGAATCCAGTGGAAGTTTTCTGTATGGGACTGGGCTTGATCAGAATCTGAAGTCACAGCAAATGGCATGGTGTGCTCGCTCCTACCCCCCTTCCATTCCTCTCCAGCCGGCACATCTGACCTGGGGATGTCCTCAAAGCCCAGGTGACTAAACAGACAACTGGCACAGTATGATGGCAACAGCACAAGCGGCCTGCCACTACTCTGTTACCCCAACTCAGGGGGGCCCTGAAGAACCACAGAGAAGGGAAATTTTGCAGTAGACAAAAATGTTAAGTATTTCACCCTGATGACCACTTTGTCTGAAAAGGGGAGACAGTCTGAGGCGTATATTTCAGTAGCTGATCGGTTTAGCTCAACAACTAGCTCAACAACCAGAGACTTGGAAGGAAGAAGAAGGCAGAGCTGGTGACAAGCATATTAGGGGGAAGCGGCATGCAGGGGACCTCTCAGAATGGGTCCCAGAGCATGAGGGCATTTGGTTTCTTGTGAATAACCAGGAAGAGGCCTCCCCTGTGGAGGAAGCACTCAAGAAGCAGGTGCGAAGGCTGGCCCGTCCTCTGCATCTCAGCCTGGCTCCATTCTCCAGGCTTTCCCACGGTGCCCAGGGGGCGTGGAGGCAGGCTGCAGGCTGCATGTGGCTTCAGCAACTTGGATTTCCCCTTGCCAAGGCTGATCTGGCTACTGTTTTGCTGAATATTTAGTTGCCTAGCAGTTAAAACCCAATTTGAGCTCCTGGTATGAACTGGGCTTGCATGCAACAGAGCCAGGGAAAGAAATGGATTCTCTCCAGACCACCATTGCCAATATGCCATCTTCTGCTCAGCACTCAAATGTCAGAATCCTGGTGCTGAAGGCCAAAACCCTGCCCCAGCTTGGCTGGTAGAGCTGGATGCCCCCTCAGGGCCTGCGGGAGCAGCAGCTCTCCCTTGTGGCTCCTGTGGGTACCAAACCTCGGAGCCTGTGTGATGAGTTGAAACATCAAAGGAGTTTGGGAAAGGTGGCTTTCCTGTAATAGAAACTTATTCCAGACCTGGATCTTCTCTCCTGATGAACAAACTTCTGCACACACCAACCTTCACAGACTTCTGAATGCTTATTCACCACCAAAGATATTTCACCCAACGTTGGTTCTTGCTAAGAAACGAATTTTACGGCAATGGGCTCACAGTATGGGGTTCATTGCTTCTATCATGTACTCCATCACCCTCATGTCTGGCCTCACAGAGGGTATGATAAAGACTCACAGAACCAGCTGTCAGTCCAGCATACAGATTATTGAGATGGGCTCATGACAGACCAGTGAGATGAGAGGTCACCATCCAGAGACTTCATATTTGAAGGTAAATAAAACTGATAAAACTCTCTACACAAGATCATTTTACTAAATTCCTTTTTGATCAAATTATTCAAGAGTGAGTTTCACAGAGAAAGTTCTAGAAGAAAATATTCCAACTAGAGGCCCAGTGCATGGGATTCGTGCACTGGTGGGAGGTGTGGGCTATGGGGATCCGCTTGCTGTGGGAGCGCCGCTCATCCTGGTCAGCCAAGCTGCTGTGGACTCATCCTCAGAACCGCTGCTCCCTCTGTGGGAGTGCACTGACCACAAGAAGGCAGCTCCTGCATTGAGCATCTGCCCCCTGGTGGTCAGCATGTGTCATAGCGACTGGTCAAGCGGCCATTCAGGTCATTCTGCCTTTCGGTCGCTGGGTTTTTATTATATAGGATAATTGAAGAGAGGTTATTATTGACTCCGTAGGTATCAAGTATTTTCTACATTCTTTTTGTTAGTCTATATTTTCTAATTTTCTTAACATGAGCATTAACATTTTTATTATACTTTATTTTTACTGTTGACATTACAGAAGTTTCACATTTTCCCCCTTGCTTCCCTCCACTCAAACCCTCCCCCCTCCTCTGGCCCTTACGACATTGTTGTCTGTATTCATGGGGCTATTCATATATGACCTTTGGATATTCTCTTAATCTTTCATCCATCTGTTCCAGAGCATTAACATTTTAAAAAATATATTTTTATTGATTTCAGAGAGAAAAGGAGAGGGAGAGATAGAAACATCAATGATGACAGAGAATCATTGATCACTGCCTCCTGCATGCCCCCCACTGGGGATCAAGTCCACAACACTGGCATGTGCCTTGACCTTGAACCCTGACTTCCTGGTACATAGGTCGATGCTCAACCATTGAGCCATACTGGCTTGGCCAGAGCATTAATATTTTTAATAAAAAATAATTCTAAATAATTATTTTAAAATGTATGCCATCTTGAGTTTCCATTAAACTTTATGATTTGTGGCCTTATGTTATAGGTACACAGTTATTATCAAGACTAACATGCCTTAAAAAGGAGGAAAACCTCAGTAAGCTTAATTCAAAATGAAAGAAAATTGTAAAGAAAGAATAAAGCAAATATTCATTCAAAACCAGGGAAAAATAATACTCTAGGAAAAAGCAATAGAACAATTCTACTTTTATTATAATCTTATTTATGTTTTACAAATAATTGATATAACTAAGTTAAATTTACAATGCTACAAATATCTAAGAAGACTATATATGAATATTGATCTCACAGTTGGCGAAAATATATAAAATATTGATTAACAAAGGCAGAAGGCCACTGTGAAATGTTCGTAAACATTAGGTATAAAATTTATGGATATCATCAAGTCAAAGTTTTACATCCATGGTGGGACACTCATCCTAAATTTTGTGTATGTTCATTGAGAGAGAAAAATAGCCAAATGCTATATAGTAAATAAAATCTGTCTAATCATTTTACTAAACTTTTTTTTTTTTAACTGATTTTTTACAGAGAGGGAGCGAGAGGGATAGAGAGTTAGAAACATCAACGAGAGAGAATCATCCATCAGCTGCCTCTTACACACCCCGTACTGGGGATGTGCCCGAAACCAAGGTACATGCCCTTGACCGGAACTGAATCTGGGACCTTTCAGTCCACAGGCCGACGCTCTATCCACTGAGCCAAACCGGTTTTGGCACTAAACTCTTCTATGATGAGTTATTTTCCAGGAGTCTTATTATAATCACACTTACATTCCTTCTTGGTATTTATGTTCTCCAGGAACTGAAGAAAAAAAGGATGAGAAAAACTTAATTAGATTGGCAAATAAAAATTGTACAGTCCTGCCAACAGGCACAATCACACCCAAATTCACAATTTCACACTCTATAACATATTTCCTCATGGTACTCAAAATCTCATGTTGGCAATTAGACCATGATAGGAAGGAAGGAAGCTGCACAACATCAGAAATACTTAGATCTAATTTACATTTCTTTGGTGTCCAAGCCCAGCCCAGCCCAGCCCAGCCCAGCTCAGCACAGCCTTGTGCTGCTCATCCCTGCTATTAAAGGCCTGGTTCTTATCTGTGTAGCAGACTTAATGAAGCTTGGGTAATGCATAGAGCAGATAATCCAGCAGCAGATACTGGAATGTGTATATTAGTATGTATGCACATATAACACATGTGAATCTGTATGTTATACACAGTGTACATAGACATTATAGGAGTTACAAGAGAATGAATTTTCATATCTAAGTTTAAAGAAGTAATGACAGTTTGTGTGTGTGTGTATGTGTATGTCTATGTATATATTATATGTATGTATAAATATATATTAACTTTAATAGATTCCCTCCTCTCTTTTAGTCAAAATCTTAATGATAAAGTAGAGAATATATAAAAAGCCAGTGACCAGAACGCTGTAGTGACCAGAACAACCGGTAGCTATGACACCCACTGTGGCCAGTGAACCAGCCAGATTGGAGGGTGGGGCTGGCCAGCCAACTTCTTACGGCCCCTCCCCTTACATGGCCTCAACCCAGATGGGCCCCCCATCCCAATCAGGGGCAGAGCTGGCCGAACCAACCATCCATGGCCCTTCCCCCAAGCCGCTAGACCCCGATGGCCCCTTCCCCCCACCCCATTATGGGGTGGGGCCGGCCAGCCCACTTCTCAAAGCCTCTCCCCATGGCTGAAACCACCCCTGATCAGCCCCTACCACGCCATTGGTCTGTAGACCCTCCCTAATCAGCCCACAGCCCCTCCCCACAGCAAGCCCCACCCCCAATCAGGGGTGGGGCCCACCCACCAATTACCCTCGGCCAGTCCCCCAAACCCTTATTGGGGCCGGGTTGGCTGGGCCCTACCCATGCAAGAAGTCATGCACTGGGCCTGTAGTGTAAGAATAAAAGGCTTGAGTGACAGGTGTTCTCAGAGGACTCAGATGTAGCCAGAAATGTCATCCCTCTTTAGTTACTGCAGCTAAAAGAGTATAGCCAGAATGTCAGGCATGCTTCCTTTGCCCAAAATTGAGCTAAATGTTCATATACAGAATGGACAAAACCAACCTGGGACAAATCAGAATGGGAAAAAAAGATGTTTTGCCACTAAGAATGTTAAGATAGAACTATGAATCGTTACAACATCAAGAGCAAATAAAGATATTATAAAGAGTGTATATATGGGTATATATATATATATATAAATATACATCTACATAGATACATAGTCATGGCAAGAGGAATATATAGAAAGATACATTTATATATCACATAATTATACTTATGCTTAAGTATTCTTACATATATGAATATATAATCATATTGTTACAGAAGACCAGAGAGAAACCAAGCCATGCTTAGAGAAAGAGAGTTACATTTTATTATGCGCAGGCCCAGAGGGAAATGTGCCTTTCAAATTCTGGGCCCCCCAATATGGAGGAAACTTTTTCAACTTATATCTTTTCTAGCTCTTTTGTCTCCCAAATTTGGAATGAGACTCCGGGCCTTCTGGGAAAGAAGGCCTGCATGCTGGGAAGGGGCCATGAGAACATATCTCAAGGCCTGGCCTGGTGTCAGCATTGACAGCTCTGTCTGGGGCATAGTCCAAGGCCTCTCTGGAATGGGAGTAGTCTTGTTTTCCTTATTATTTAAGCAAGCATACGTTTACAGAAGCCAAAATAGCAGGGCTAAAATTTCAAACAGCAGTTTTTATATAAGATGCATAGTTCAATATAATTATGTAATTATATAAGCATATTTCATATATCATATGTATAAATATACTATTGTGACCTTATACAATAGTATATTTATACATATGTTATTTAGATAGGTTATTATAAGTGCATAAATGAGTGTAAGTATATTAAATATACATCACTGATGCTGAAAGCTGGAGGAGAAATTTCATCCCAGCTATGCAATGGAGTCTTTTAGCCCCATCTCTTCCTCATGTGCTAGGCCTCCCCTCACGTTGCCTAATTTAACTTTGAAATCAGTCTGGATCTGAGCCTAGTCAACATATTTATTTGTCAGTAAGTATAAGCTGTTGTTAACTCTTGGGAGAAAAGAAATTCTGTATCCCATTTCCCGGAACTTCGACAGCCTTGACCTCATGGCCTCGAGGCCTCTGCAGGCTGTGCACACAGAGGACCTTGGCGAACACGTGACTTACTACCAGTACCAGCTCTGTCTCTGGCTGGGCTGGTGCAGAACTTCCTGCTAAATGGTCCAACCTCCCACTCCACCCGTCACGGAGTCTTCCAGGGGGTGCTGCTCCACGTGGGACGCAGCTGGACCAGCTTTGCAAGTGAAGGGAGGGGAGGCTGGACAGGCAAAAGAGAAAGTGGGAAAAAGACAGAAGCTCTCGGTGGGCCCCAGGAAGTGAATTCTTGCACTGGCCTGTTTCCACATGAGGCCGACAATGATGATATTGTCCATGCCAACCCCATTTTGTCCTGATACAAGCCACGGCTCTTTGTCCTTAGATACGGAAGCAAAAGAAGCAAAGGAAACTTAAACACTTCCTAGAGAATTCAGAGTGTTTTAGTAGCTGTCGGCGTTTGCATGGCATATGCCCTGTACACAGTTCCCTTTTACTTTGGTCCCATTGAGGCCAACCCCAAGGCAGGTGCATCAGCAGGGGACAACACCACTGGCAGCAGAAACCGAATTGGCAGAATAGTGAGAGAAAAATGCCAAATCCTCTCTCTTGGCTCCTATCTGAGGAAAAGCATCTTAGCTCTTTCTCCCAGGGGCCTGGGGCCTGGTGTTCTGATTTTGTCAGTGTGCTGAAGCCTTCCCATGAACAACCGAGCCCCTCAGCAGGTCTTTCTGAAATGACCCTTGACTCACACTTGGCATCCTGTAGCCCTTCCTTAGAATGAAATTCCTAAAAGCAGCTGGCCCGTGAAGCTTTGCAAACTCCTCCTCCTCCTAAAAGAAAGTTCACATGTTGAATTAACAACTAGCAGTCAGAAGCTCGCTTTCATCCTTGTCCTAATCAGAAGCATTTGACTATTTATTTTTTAAAAATGTATTTTATTGATTTTTTACAGAGAGGAAGAGAGAGGGATAGAGAGTCAGAAACATCAATCAGCTGCCTCCTGCACACCTCTCTCTGGGGATGTGCCCGCAACCAAGGTACATGCCTTTGACCAGAATCGAACCTAGGACCTTTCGGTCTGTAGGCCGACGCTCTATCCACAGAGCCAAACCGGTTTCAGCGCATTTGACTTTTTATAAAATACCTCAGGTGCGTAGGTTACATTCACAAGTTAAAGAATACAAAGGCTTTCCCAAGATGTACAACTTTCTCTCCTTTCCCTACCCCTTATTAAGGATAAGTCATACATTTTAGCAATTAGACAATTACTGACCTAAAATGTCTGGAATCTAACCAATTTAAGAACAATTGTGATACTAAGGTTTACATTAGTCACAAAGATATATGTAGCCCTATGTTCAGTGCAGCATTATTTGCAGTGGCCAAGACATGGAAACACCAATAAATGATTGGATAAAGAAGATGTGGTGCATATACACAATGGGATACTACTCAGCCATAAGAAAAGATGAAATGCTGCCATTTGGGACAACATGGATATATCTTGAGTATATCATGCTAAACAAAATAAGCCAAATAGAAAAAGTCAAGAACCATATGATTTCACTCATATGTGTGATATAAATCTGAAAGCAACAATGAATAAACATGATAAACAAAAATTCATAGGCCACAAACAATAGGGGTCAAATATATGGTGATGGAAGGAGACTTGACCTTGGGTAGTAAACACAATGCAATATAAGATTATGTATTACAGAATTACTAGAGGCCAAGTGCATGAAATTTGTGCACTGGGGGTGGGGGTGGGATGTTCCCTCAGCCCAGCCTACACCCCCTCCAATCTGAGATATCCCTCTCACAATCTGGGACTGCTTCTGGCTCATAACTGCTCACCTGCCTGCCTCTAACTGCATCTGCCCCTCCCCCCCCACAAGCTGGCCTGATCACCCCAACTCCCCCCCACACACACATTGGCCTGGTCACCCCCAACTGCCACCCCTGCTGGTCTGGTTGCCCCCAACTTCCCCCCTCTGCTAGCCTGGTCTTCTCCAACTGTCCCCCCTTCCCCCTTTGGCCTGTTATTGGTCATCCATCCAGTTGTTTTGGTCATGATAGCCCCTGGCTTTTGATATATTAGGATATTTTGAAACCTATACAATTTTGTTAACTAATGTCATCCCAATAAATTTAAATATGTATTTGCTTTTCTTCCTATAACTGGTAGAAAGCTCCCAAAACCCTTGGATTTCCTAAGTGATAAGAGCCACCAAGGTGAAAGGAGAGCCTTTGTTATTCATAACAAACCCCTTTCAAGCACAGGGGAGTTTATATTCATGAGGTGATTTTTGGTGAGCCCATAGGTAGTCCCATGAAGGGGGCTGGTTGCCAGAAGAACCAACCATGTGAAGAGAGGGTTGACACTCTCAGCTCCACTTCCCAATGGCCAACCATCAATCATTTCTGTGTAATGAAGCCTTAATAAAACCCCAGAAGGATGAGGTTGAGAGAGCTTCCAGGTTGGTAACCGTGTGAAGGTTCTGGGAGTGTGGCACACCTAGAGAGGGCATAGAAGCTCCATGCCCACCCCATCCTACATCCCTTGTCCTATGTATCTCTTTCTGAGATACATATGGCTGCTCCTGAGGGTCCCTTTTATAATAAAACTAGAAGCCCTGTGCACAAAATTCATGTATGGGTAGGGTCCCTAGGCCTGGCTGGCAATCAGGGCCAATCAGGTTTCCTGCCCCCCTGCCCACATGCCACCACCTCACAGTTACCCCCACCTCCTTCTTCCCTCACCATCCGCACACCCTGCCTCCACCACTAGTCACCTGCCATGTTCCACACCACCCCCTAGTGGTCAGCACATATCATAGCAAGCAATCCAATTCCCGTTCTCCTAGTTGAACTCCCAAGGGGACACTTTGCATATTAGCCTTTTATATATACAATATATAAATAATAATCTGATAAATTGTTTTCCTGAGTTCTGTGAGCTGCTCTGGCAGATTATCAAATCTGAGGAGAGGGCTGAGGGAACCTGCAATGTATATAGCCAGTTGGTCAGAAGCACAGATTGCAACCTGGACTTGAGATTGGCATTTGAGGTGAGGGCAGTCTCATGGGACTGAGCCCTTAACTTGTGGGATCTGACTCCATCTCCAGATAGATAATGACAATATTGCATTAAATTGTAGGACACCCAGCTGATGTTCAGAGAATTCCTTGGTGTGTGTGTGGAGTGAGGGAGGGACCTAACCCATTTGGTGATTAGAGTTGAGAGTGATAGAGGAAGAAACAGAAGTGTTTTTTCTTATTCAACAGTATATTCACAATTTTTAGATCTTAATTCCAAAAAGCATGGTTATGGAAAAAAAAAGACTTGATCCAGTCCCAGTATCTTTGGAGTATTCATGCATTCATTTTTTTTCTTTTCATTTATCTGAATTTAAAAGTTGGATAGATAAGATTATATCATTGTAATTCAGTTCTTTAAGAGCATTTCACCTTCCAAACAAACTCAATCAGCAACAGTCAAAACTCATGTTACCAGAAAGACAGCCATGTCATCATAGTGACTGTCCCTTACTAGCACAACCCTGCACCTGTGTCTTGTGAATTGGGATGCCATAGCCAAGTGGCCCCCCAATATACAGGTACACAGGCAAATCAATCTTCAGGTATTACAAAAGTGTGACTTACAAAAATCATTACAGAACGACTCTGTTGCTTTGAATTCTTTTTGTGTATAAACTGTCTGATAAACCATCTTTTACTGTAATAATTATATCAGCCATATTTCCTAAATTTATATATTACTTTTTTTAGTATATTTTGTCGTCAAAATAAAATATTTTTGGAAAATTATTTTTTTTTAACAATTAGTCTTTAAGAATGTATTTCTAAAAAGAGAACTTCTAGATACATTAAAAGGTTTGTAACAATTTTTTCTTTATATTTTAAAAATGCAAATGAAATAGTTTTATGTTATGTATTAAATTCACATAAATTTAGATAGGCAGCTCCAAAAACATACACCCAGGAATAGTGCTGTATATTATTTACATTATTATCTCCCATCTCAAAATAAGAATTTCATGCCTAGTCCCAAAAAAAAAAAAATTAAAATGACCATCCTTCCCCCAATCTAAAAGAGGCAGCTGATGAGTGATTTATGAATGAATGAGTAGCCAAATTTGTATAGCATTTTACTTTTTCAAAGTGTTTTCACATTGAGATCTGGGAGAAGTTTGGGGCCCTTTGAAAAGGGGAAGTGTTTTACAAATATTCTCATTAGAGTCCTGCACAAGTGTTGTGTCAACATCTCCAGTTTTCAGGACTGCAGTGAGGATCTTCTTTCCATTAGATACCTGTACACAAGAGATCAGCAGGCAGAGTTTATTTGTAGTAGAACTAGAGCACATTTGTGTTGTTTATGATATCCTCTCCTCTCGGCTCCTGCAACTCTGCAGAATTGCATAAAAGAAGTTTCCTGATTGCAATTTTGAAATTCTTTAATATTCATTCACTATGGATAAAAAAATTTTTTTTTAAAATAGGCCTCGCATTGTGTTTCTCACAGAGAACCCATGACATTATGTCCATCCTGAGTATTGAGGTGGTCCTACCTGGTCACAGCACCCTTTGGACAGCCAATTTATCCATGGACCCTGGACCACGCATGAAGTACAGTGAGTGGTTGCCCCGTTTTTGGAGATATTTCTGTCCACTATGAAGGCAGGAAATTTCCAGTCTTGCTTATTAGACATTCCCTATCTAATAAGTTGGTATTCTCATGGCTGGATTTCCTATAGAAGCTATGAGACTTTCAGAAGCCTCTGCATTATCCAGAGACTCCACCTGCAATATGAGCTTGCAGTTGCACTGATGATTAGTTCAGATGATCAAATCACAGCATACACACATACCTGTTTCTTCTGCTCCTTTCTTAAATTCTCGTCTTTGTGTAAGGCCTTGGGGTCAGTCAAAGGTTCATCTGCTCTTTGTCTTTTCCATAGTTTTGGGTGCAGATACCAGGCTCCATACCGCATCTTCACATGCTTTGGTTTACAAGTATTCTATAGAAAATAATGTAATTCCCGATTTCATTAGTAGTTTTTTTGTGGGTTTTTTTTTTTTGTTGATGTTTTTTTGTTTGTTTGTTTGTTTGTTTGTTTTGGGGGGGAGTTCATTTTGATAAAAATTTAGCTTATTAAAGAAATGTCATTCATTTTGAATTTATGATTTATCCTTGCCAAAGTATTTTATAAAGCTTCAGTATACTTTGACATGAAGAGTTTGAGATTGAGAAAAAAAAAATGTGGTAGATTTAGAGATATCTGGTTTCAAATCCAACCTGACATGAAGAGTTTGAGATTGAGAAAATAATGTGGTGGATTTAGAGATATCTGGTTTCAAATCCAACTTCCTCCACTTAGCAGATATTAAAGTTGATGGGCAAGTTACTTAAATTCTTCATCTGTAAACTAAGATAGCAGTATCCACACATAGGGTTGTTGGAAAGATTAAAGAAGATAATTATAAAAAGCAGCTAGAAATCATGTAAAAATCACATATTTCACCAAAGGGTAATGATCCTAAACAACATTCAGTCAACCAAAAGGATAAGTTACTAGCCCATTACTGTGCTCAGCCTTGTAAAACTACTATCCAACACCTATCTCTTGCCTCTTTAATGAGAAGGAAAAGGAGGGTCCTGGCCATTGTGGCTCAGTTGGTTGAGCATTATCCTGATTCAGGTCAGGCACATGCCCAGGTTTCAGGTTGGATCCCCAGTTGGGTGCACACAGGAGGCAACTGATCAATGTGTCTCTCTCACATCAATGTCTCTCTCTCCCTCTTTCTTCTGTCTTTGAAATGAATAAAAACATTAAGAAGAAGAAGAAGAAGAAGAAGAAGAAGAAGAAGAAGAAGAAGAAGAAGAAGAAGAAGAAGAAGAAGAAGAAGAAGAAGAAGAAGAAGAAGAAGAAGAAAGAGGAGGAGGAGGAGGAGGAGAAGGAGGAGGAGGAGGAGGAGGAGGAAGACTAGATGCCATTCCTTTTGTTCTCCCATTTCTCAGAAGTGCATCTGTTGGCTCATTCCTGGATTCTATGGACTCAGTAACCACATATTGTCTCATCACAAAGGACTGGGGGCGGGGGTCTAATGCTTGGGAGCAACAAAAAAGCAAGAAACACGAAGATCCAGCCCTTCTCTCTTCTCACTCACATTTAAACTATGAGGTGGAATGTGTCAGGTATCAAGGGTCCAGCCAGGTACACGTGCCTAAAGCAGAGAGGATGGAGCAGGACAAAGGGAGGGAAATCCCACTCCTCAGAGCTAGATTCGCATTGTGATCCCTCCATTCCAAGCACACTGACCTCCTGGCTGTTTCTAGAGCACTTCCTTCCTGCTTTTGCCTCAGGGCCTTTGCACTCACTATTCCTTTTGCCAGAATGCTTTTTACTCAACATTCCCCACATGACTTACTCCCTTACCTAGTTCATGTGATCTTCTCAGTAGTATACTTCCTGACCATCCAGTTTAAAAATTATAACCACCTCACAACAGTCCTGTCTTCTTTCCCTGACTCATCTTTCTCACTTATCACCATTTGAAATGTTGTATGTTTTTCTGATTGTTTATCTCTCCTTTCACCCTCTAAAATGCAAGCTTCTGAGATTGTTCTGTGATACATCCCCCTGGCATGTAGAGCAATACTTAAGATACAATAGGTGCTCAATAAGAAATTGTTGGCCGGGACCGGTTTGGCTCAATGGATAGAGCGTCGGCTTGGGGACTGAAGGGTCCCGGGTTCGATTCGGGTCAGGGGCATATACCTTGGTTGCAGGCATGTCCCCAGTGGGGGGTGTGCAGGAGGCAGCTGATCGATGACTCTCTCTCATCGATGTTTCTGGCTCTCTATCTCTCTCCCTTCCTCTCTGTACAAAATCAATAAAATATATTAAAAAAAAAAAAGAAATTGTTGAATTAAAGTCTGATTCCTTAACTTGAGCATTATTGACATTTTTTACCTGGATAATTCTTTGTAGCACTCCCCAAATTGGGATAACTAAAAATGTCATCTCCAGACATTGCCAAATATCCTGGAATTGGGAGGCAAAATCAACCTTGGATGAGATCCACTGAATTAAAGGAAGGAAAGAAGGGAAGAAAGGGAGAAGGGAAGGAAGAATTACTGAGTCCACACTATGTTATGTTCTTGGGTAACTGGTGTTCTTTGAAGACAGCACAAACATAGTATCTTCTATGAAGCCTTAACTGTGTTCGGTGAAACTGATTATTTCCTCTGTCCTGTACAAACCATGACAACATTTCATTGTAGCTAATCATTTACTTGTTGATCTTACTAAACTCTAAGCTCCTTAAGTGCAGGAGGTAGTCCCTCATTTGCTCCCAGCACTTTTTGGCACATAGAAGAAGATGCTAACAATTGCTTTTTGAATGAATGTATAAACAAATGGATGAATGAATATTCTGAGGTAATTTATTCATAGAGGCACAGATGGCTGTGAGAGATGAGCAGGAAAAATAAATTAATGTCAATCAAAGGACCAGGAGAAAACCCATGGAACAAACTGTCATTTAAACTGTGCCTAAAGAGAGATTCATGTAGACATCGGAAGAGGGGTAGTTCAGGCAGAGAGAATATTGTGAGCAGAGGTAAGGTAGTAGGAAAGCTCAGAGTTTTAAAGAACACCAAAGAAAAGAGTATAGCACGCCTGAGAGAACATGGGGTTAAAAAAAAAAAAAATACACATGGGGACTTCCATTCTGGAATGGGGTAAACAGATTTACCTTCCCACCTACAACAAACAAACAACCACAAACAACCAACATAGTATTTTTTTTTATGTGTTTACAACACTGGACATCAAATAACAAAACACAATGATCCCTGAGCGCAGGAAAGCAACACAATAAACCACACAATTAACACGGCTCACTGCCTGGATAGTTTGCAGGCCTCAGAGCAGGGAGAGCCCAGGAGGAGCTCAGCGGACTTGGAGTTGAGGAGGCAGCACTGAAAATCCAGGAAGATGAAGGCAGCTAAAGTTTGCAGTCCAGACTGCAAAGAGGGAGCTCCAGAGGTTTGGACAGAATGTCTCTCTGTGCACGTGTGGGAGGAAACTACCAGAAGTCCGGGAAGAAAGCAACCAAGAGGATCAGAGAGAACAGTGCTCAGCACGCATGGGGCAGGGACAGTGCCCACCCCCTCCTAAGAACCTAAGGGTTCACAGGACACTGGGTAGAATACACTGGGTCCTGCCTCAGCAGTAGAGAATCAGCTGTAGACTGGCCATTACTTTGATCCTTCACAACAGATCTTAAAAGCAAGATCCAAAGGATCAAACTTTTCCAGGTCACTTTAATTATACCCTAGGACAAAACTCAAGTTTATATGAACACAAACATGCCCAGAGCCCAAGAAGATAAAATTCACAATGTATAGCATCTACTCAAACATCACCAGGCATGCGGAGAGGCTAGAAAACATAAGCCACAATGAGGAAATAAATCAAGGACTAAAACATATCCAGAAAAACAAAGATAAGGATGACAGAAGATTTCTCATTGGAAGCAACTCAACCAACAAGACAGTGAAGCGAAATCTTTAGTAGCAACTCACACAGAACCAATAAAGATGTTAGAGTTAACAGAAAGAACATTAAAAGAATTTATAATTATATTCTGTAGGCTCCAAAGATTAGGTAGAGACACAGAAGATATATGTTTTTATTTATTAATATATTTTTATTGATTTCAGAGAGGTGGGGAGAGGGAGAGAGAGATAGAAACATCAATGATGAGAGAGAATTTGGCTGCCTCATGTGCCCTGATAGAAAATTGAACTTTGACCTTCTGGTTCATAGGTCAACACTCAACCACTGAGCCACACTGGCTAGGCCAGAAGAGATATATTCGATATATATCTTTAAAACCCAAATTGAACTTCTTAAGATGATAATTATAATGTATGAGATGAAAAATACATTGGCTAGGATTAACAGCAGGTTAGACATAGCAAGAGGGGGAAAAATTAGAGAATCAAAAATATAGCAATAGAAAAAGAGAGAAAAGATAATAAAAAACTGAACAGAGCAGCAATGAGAAATAAGATATGTAATTACAGTCCTGGGAGTAGGGTTGAGAGACCAAAAACTGTTTGAAGAAGTAGCAGTGAAACTTTTTCCAAAAGTGATGAAAATTATAAAGCCATGGATGAAAGAGACTCAGCAAACCCCAAGTACAAGAAATATACGCCAAGGTATGTAATAATCACATTACTCAGAAACAGTAACAAAGAGAAAATGTGAAAAGCAGCCAATATGGAATAAAACATATCCAAGAAAAATAAAGGTAAGGATGACAGATTTCTCACTGGAAACAACTCAACCAGGAAGACAATGAAGCAACATCTTTAAAGTTCTGAAAACAAACAAGCAAACCAAACACTGGAAACCTAGAATTATATAACAACAAAAAGATCCTGAAAAATCTAGGCAGACTAAGGATGTTTTCAGACAAACAAAAGCTGAACGAATTCGTCACCTGCAGAAGGACCATGTGGAAATAGATTTTGAACTTTTGCACAGTGACCCTCCGTCTGCCAGTCAAAAGTTCAATTTTGTCAATAACCACAGTGGTTTATAAAGAAGAGTTTGTGCAATTATTTGTAAGTACAAGGAATTGAGCGATTTCATTCAGCCCTGATTCAGGATAAGCAGGGGTTCAGGCCTGCTTATTTATAAAGAAGAGTTTGTGCAATTATTTGTAAATACAAGGAATTGAGCAATTTCATTCAGCCCAGATTCAGGATAAGCAGGAGTTCAGGCCCCAGGTGTGACAGACATAATTTATCCAGCAATAGTTTGTATTTTCCCCTTTATAACAAGGAGAGGAAAATGAAAAATTTAAAGAGTTGATATTAGTGATGGAATGCACAGTTTTCATAAACCTTATGCAATAGAGTTAGGAATAGAAAATATCATGTGTGTAAAAATAGGTCAGTCAATTGTGTTAGATTGTAAAGGACAAGGTTAATATGTCCAAAATGTTGGAAATATATAATAGTATAAAAATGATGTGTAAAATAAAGATAATATATAGTTTTCCACTTTTAGAGAAAGGAACTATCTCCCCACTCTAACTCCCATGTAGGCACTCAAGTCTTTGTTGGATTGGCACATTTGACCTATATGTATATTTGCAGTAATACATTGTGTAACGATTATTGCTTATCTCATTTTTGATTCTTATATTTCCAGTAGGACATGATCTCACTCATCTAGGGGAAATGGTGAACAACATAGACTGATGAACAAGAACAGACCCAGAGATAAGGAGCCATGGGTCAGATTGTTGGACCTCAAAGGGAGGGTGGGGATAAAAGGGAGAGATCAACCAAAGGACTTATGTGCACACATATGAGCCTAACCAGTGATCAAGGACAATAGGGGGGTAGGGAAATGAGTAAGGGGGTGGGAATTGGAATGGGGGGTTGAGGACAAATATGTGATACCTTAATCAATAAAGAAATTAATAAAATAAATTTAAAAATTTTAAAAAGTGGAAAAGTTCTTAGTGGAACATAGTGTGTTATTTTCCCTCTCTGTTGCCTTGTACTACCTTCACAGGAAATTGGTATTGGGAAAATGAGCAAGTTATTCATGATCGGGCAAAGCATGCAATCACAAATGATGGTGTGAGGTCAGTTAGACTCACCTAAAAACTCAAGAATTCTTTGGACACAAAATGAACAGTGTTCATGGTCATTAACTGCAGCATTTTACTATTGCAATAATAAGCATTCATATATATTTCCACTGACAGGATCTCAATATATAAAACACATAAAGAGATTATCTCAACCTAGAAAATACATAGAATACTAATGACTCTTCAGATATGAACAATAATGCCAATTGACATGCCTTGTTCATATAACTGACTTTGTTATATGTATTAAATAGTCACTCACTTAACAAATATTAAACATTAAAAAAATCAAGTATATTACTGAAAAAGACTGGTTCCCCTTATAGTACCAGAACTCAAGAACGTTTAAGATTTTAATATAACTTTAATTTTGTTTGATTTTCAGTCTTCTCCCATGTAGTAATTACCTTCAGTTCCGGCTCTAGTTCCTGGAAAAATTCTGACTCCTGCTGTTTCTTGAGCCCCTCTCCCTTCTTTAGGTCCCCAGGAATCTCGCCAAGCTTCAGCGGGTGGAGCACATTATGGCTGATTTCCCTCTCATAGTTAACCTCAAATTGCTTCATGATGTACTCTTCATCAATCCTCGTGCTTCCCTGGAAGAATATTACATTGCATAAGTCAAGGACGGATGGTGAAATGCTCCTTGCTTTCTTCTTTAATCTAAGGGAGGCATTTGACCACGGCTGGAGAAGAGATAGTTTGGAGAAGGAGAAAATGCTCTGTCAGCATTCAGTGAAGACAAGAAGTATAGTTGACCCTTGAACAACAGGAGAAGGCGGCTTAGGAGGGGCTGACCTCCAGCACAATTGAAAATCCTATATAGCGCTTGACTCCCCCAAAACCTAACTCCTTTTGGTATTTGCAGGGACGGGGCTGTGAGTGGGAATGCAGGAGGGGAGAGTTACTCATTTTTTCCTTGGGTATTTCCCATGTATATATGATGTATACAAGTTAACTTCTGCTTATTTTTCTCTTGTTAATCTGGATTTGGTTCTAGGACCTTCCCACCACACCTTTCACACACCCCACAACTCCCCAGCCTGCCCCACACCCTGCAATGCTCAAGTTCCTTCCATAAAATGTTTTTTTTTTAATCAGCCCTCACACCTGGACTCCCAACCATGGCTAGAAAATAGTATGGGCATTTATATTTTTTAAATCTGGGTATGAGTGAGCCAGCACAGTTCAAACCATCTTGTTCAAGGAGATCAACTGTATTTGGGCCTGGAGGGCTTTGCCTTAAGAGACAATTTAGGATCTGCAAGAAGCAGTGAGTCCCTGAGGGAATGAATGGGCCTGGGGAAAATTCAGTCTGTTTGACCAAAGCAAACTTCTCCAATCCTTTAGAGCAGTGGTCAGCAAACTGCGGCTCTGGAAACAGGATAGACATTACACCTTTGTAAGCGAAATTTACAGTTATGAGGGAAATCTCCATTTGTAAGGGTGTCTCACTCTCTGTACCAGGAAGAGAAGGAAGACTCTAAATCCTAAGAAACGCTTGTCAATGGAGAAGATACACACTTAAGTCCACATAGCAAGCCTTAAGTTTACCTACTTTTCCTGGCCATCTCCTGACAACTGGCTCCCCACACACTTCTTTCTTTCATCTTGTGCTGAAGATGGTCTGTAAGCCTGAATTCCAAAGCCATCTGGGAGAGTTACACATTTTTCCTTGGGTATTTCCCATGTATATATAATTAACATGATGTATACATGCTAATTAACTTCTGCTTATTTTTCTCTTGTTAATCTGAATTTTGTTATAAGAGCCCCAGAGAGAACTTAGAAACTAGAAGGAAAGTTATATTTTCCTCCTCTACAGACTCAACGCAATCCCACTTTAAAAAATAGAAACTGGAGAACACAGAGAGAATGAGGTCAGTAACAACTGAAGCTGACACTGGGGTGACATTCACAGAGAGGAGCCATGAAATAGACTCAGAAACATAAAGGGAGGAGTAGCGTGGAAACCAGGGTGAAATAATAATGAAGCAGAAATATAGCCAGCAGAGTCAATGAGGTAAACAATAAAAGCACGGAAGGAAAGTATAAGCTAATGCTAAGGAGGAAACACCACAGGGTGATATGATGGGAGCAAAACAGGTAAAGCTGATACCTTGGTCATAAGGGACTGAAAATGAGGCTTGTCACCTATAGGAAACATTTCTATTACAAATGGTGGAAGAGTCCTAAAGATTTCTTTATGTGTTTGTTTGACTTAGTCAAGCACTGTTTTTTAATAAAAGTAACTTTGAGTATGACTTTAAAAGTGGTATCACTACTAACGTACAATCGAAGCAGCCCAGTCGCAGAGGTCTCTAACTGATTTGCGGGTGTTTTCGTACGGATCAGGACCATCCTTGTGGAGCGAATCCTTCTCACTGGGCTTCTCTTCAGAAGGCGATCGGATTGGCTTCTTCTCTTTAGAAAGTGATTGGCATGAATTCTTCAACCGAAGAGTCTTCTTGGGACTAAAGATAATGGGATCCTCAAAGTATTACAATATGAGCCACCATGAACCCAAATGGATTTCAAAAAGTATCATGGGGGAAAGGAGATCATAAAACAAGTATTTCCGACCGTTTCTGGCAAGCTCACACTAATTGTTTAAATTTTTCAAAGATTCCATTCCTATTATCAATAATCTAAAGATAACTATATCATGATTAGTTATAACGATGAAAGCTTATATAGCATTTTACCATTATAAGGTGATTTTTAAGATGATGAGTACCAATTATTTTTTTTATTTTTTTTTTAATTTATTTATTTATTTATTTTACATATTTTATTGATTTTTTTTTTGTTTTGTTTTGTTTTTTGCCCCCCTTCTTCCCTCCCACGAATTAAGACATGTGCCAGGTAAAAGCGTAAATTGCTATGCTTGGAGTCTGCCACGGGCTCCGACAATCCTGACAAGTAGGAGACATCCTTGGCCCCTCTGTCCCTCATCCCTAAAACCTATTAATAAGCCTGATGGACTGTAGTTCTGTCTGCTCTGGACTGCTGCAAAAGGCCCCTCACTGGGGTCTCTGAATCTTCTCTGAGGATCCCCAACCCTTAATCCCTAACCTGCTCTCTAAACTGCAGCCAAAATAGTCATTTCAAAATATGAATTTGATCACAATCAGCCTCTCTTCATCCTTGATTACACCCCCTCCAATGGCTTCTTTTTAAGAATGGCGATAAGCTTACATGCCATCATAATATTAATAACTAGCTAACGGCTCACCGAGGGCCAAGAATTTAAAGATGCTCCCAGCGCCCTAACCGGTTAAAGATGCTCCCAGCGCCCTAACCAGTGGATAGAGCGTCAGTCTGCTGACTGAAAAGTCCCAGGTTCGATTCCGGTCAAGAGCATGTACCTTGGTTGTGGGCATATCCCCAGTAGGGGGTGTGCAAGAGGCAGCTGATCGATGACTCTCTCTCATAGATGTTTCTAACTCTCTATCTCTCTCCCTTCCTCTCTGTAAAAAATCAATAAAATATATTTTTTTAAAAATATAGATGCTCCCTGGGCCATACTGACCCCCACTGTTGGAGTCTCCAAGGGGACCCTTCACCTAACACTGCTCCCTCCTCCCCACCCATGCTCCGAGCAACTTGAAAAATAATGCAAGTTATTACTGACAGCAGCCACATTGGAAGACAGGGGCTTAGGTCCAAGAGGACTTGCTCACTGGAAGCCAGATATGGGCAGACTGTCCAAGCCTGCCCTGAGCAGGGGGAGTCCCTCAAGAAGGAAGAAACAGGGGAGAACTTGATTCCCAGGGAAAGGGCAGAGCTGAGAGGAGTATCCTCAGTTGTTCTCCCCCAATGTACCAGGGGTACCCCCAGGGGTACCCCCAGGGGCCAGAACAGTAGAGTTTTGGTCACCTTGTGTCTCACCCTCACAAACATGGGTAATTTAATACAGTTAAATGTAATTTAATTTTCTCTCACTCCACCTCGAGATGGGTAACTTGTGCGACTAGCCAAGCTCTTCGTGTCCCTTCCAAACACCTGGCCGTGGTTCTGGGCCTCTGTCCGTGGTCTGGGGGCTGTGGTGGGCTTCTCCCAAGTACACCTACGCTCTTCGGTGTCTGCAAGTGACACCAGTTAATTTCAAAAGTCAAATGCATATCCCAAATCTACTTACGTCAAGGATATATATTTCGTTGCATTTGCATTTTTAATTAAATATTCCATGAGTTAGGAAAACAAGAGTTGTTTCTATGGAAATCAAGCTCAGTGCTTTAGAAAGATTTAATGAAGGTGTCCTCACTGCCTCGGTTTATGCAAAAAAGATGACTTGGAAATCCAAGCAGTAGACCCATACTCAAAAAAAAGGCTTAAAATAAGATGCTCTAAGTACTAAGTGTTATCTTTTACAATTCCTTATATTAACTTTTTTTTTGGGGGGGGAGGCATCTATCCAATGAACTATTGGTCCCAATCATGTGACTAAAAGGGCTTCTGCCATAAATAACTCAATGAGCCATGGTGGGCCAATTAATCAGGCTGCCTGCAGCGTATCTTTTCTCCCTCAGCTCTCACTGAGTCGTGTGAACACACTCCTGTTTGCCCCATTGCTGGCTAATTAACCTCCATTAATTAAAACCCACTGTTTAGAGCAGGACTCAAGGCTCCTTTCCCTTCTCCTTGGCAACTTGGTTACTTTTGCTTCTCTAAATTATTCTAAAAATGAGGAGCTTTGAGAAGGAAACATCTAGAATGCTTCATCAGGTGACAGGAATAAGCGAGGAGCCTAGAACGATACTTACAGCTCCAGGGAGGCTCGGGTGGGACGTTTTGCAAGCAGTTTTGGGGGTTCCTTGGGATCTTGGGTGGGACATTTTTCACGCAGTTTTGTGGGTTCCTTGGGTTTTTTCTCGACACCCTCACAATGAGCCCACGCGTCCTCCAGTTTCTTGTCAGGATCCAGCACTTCCAGCACCCTCTTTAAGAGCTACACACAGAAAACAGTTTGGGTGGAAGAAAAATGTGGAGAATGGGGCCCTTTGCTTCTAAAGCAGAACGGACCACCTCCCCCCTTAACTTTTCCTTTCTAATCCGTCAACACACTCACTGGTTCCTGTGCAGACCCTGTGCTGGGTGCTAGGTAAACCTCCATCCCCTAGACATGGGGTAGGCAGCCTGTGGACCAAAATGGGAATGTGAATATACTGGTCTGCCCAGGCCCCATCTGCCCCCATCCAAGTACTTCTACAGAATTTCTGTGGTTTTTGACTGTCCAGCATCCATTCTTCCTCCTATCAAGGACAGCATCTAGGTTTTTCTTTGGAGAGCCATCTCTCTTTCCACTCTCACACCGAATGGTTTGCACTGGCCTGACTCCATTTTCACGTCACAGGCAGGCCGATCCTCTCTGGACTGACCCAGTGCCTGGTTTGAATAAGCACATAACCCAAGTTGGACCCACAGGAATCAAGATTCGGAATTTTGCTGAGCCTGTGCAAAAATAAATGCTTTTTTTTTTTCTGGGTAGAATTTAAATCTAGAGCTGCTGATGGTCATCACAGAACCATAAAAGGAGATCTGGCCTCAAAAAAGCGCCAACACACCTACTTGGGAGGTCAAACATGGAAATAAGGGCACAACCGCATGAGCCATCTGAAGTCATGAAAACAGTCTGTTTGCCGTGACTCAGACGCTCTGGCTTGCAGGAGGCAGGGCAGGAAAGCCTTGGGTGAAAAATAATTGGTTGGAAATTCCAGGTGTCCTTTTCTCTAGACTTCTCTGCCATGGATCATTCATTTATTTATCCATTCATTCAGTATGCACAAATATAATTCATTCGTTATGTCAGGTATTGGTAGTACACGGCAAAAGACACAAAGCCACTGCCCTGTACAGTTCTTATTCCAGGGAGGAGCCCAGTGTGGCAAGTGCTATGTTGAATAATAGGTCCTGGTAAGGACTAGTGCCTGAGAGCGGAAGGGAGATGGTATTTTATACAGCCTAGGTAGGAGGCATTCCAGCAAAGATCTGAAAGAAGTGAAGGAACGAGCTAGGCAGACATGGGAGGCAAGTGTCTCAGACACAGGCACAGAGATTTTAGTTGGAAATGTTGGTAACGTTCGCAGACAGAGCAGGCAGGGGCCAGCGTGGCTGCACTGGTGAGAGCAGAGCAGTAGGCAGCCATGTTGGAGGGGGAGCAGGAGAGATGCAGGCAGGGAGCAGAACACACAGGGCCTCTAAGACGCTCACTGTGTGGGAACAGACTTGTAGGGCGGGAGCCGGCACTGTTAGTGCTCTGCCCAGTACCCGTTCTGCTCTTTTGCTTTAAATCTAAATCACGTGTTCTGTGTTGTGTTCAGCATTGCAATGCCAACCATAAGACTCAGTTTCCTAGACTCCCGAGCATGTCAATGAATGAGCTGTTTACTGAAAGGCTATCACAGTTGACCTTTGAACAACACCGGCATAAGGGGTGCCAACCCTGCACTGTCAGAAATCCACATAGAACATTTGGCTCTATGGTCAGCCCGTAGCATCCGTGGTTTCAATCAACCACAAATCAAAAACAGTATTTTAGGTCCATGGTTGGGAATGTGAATATACTGTTTTCTATACTGCATATAGAAAACAGTATATCAATAGTTTGTTGAATCTGCACAAGCAAAACCTATCGTTAGAAAGGGGATTTATTGAAAAATCCCATATAAGTGGACCTGGGCAGTTTAATCCTGTTCAAGGGTCAACTGAATTTGCCTAATTAAAAACAGTCAACTGGCATGTACCCTTTAACCTTTGCCCCTTACCCCTTCTTGTTTGAAAGACTGCATGCCTGGTGGTGTGGAAGCCTTTGGAGACACAAGAACTAGAGACAATAGAGTGTGAAGGCCTGGAGGGGTGGTGCAGGGTAGAGACTGCCAATGGAGAGAGGAAAAATCACAAACAAATAAAGGGGGCATCTGTAATACTTTCAACAATAAAGATACATTTTTTTAAAATGTGGTAGTTTAGGACTTTCTAAATTAAGGTGCCAATCTGCAACATCCAATGAAAAGCAATGAAGATTTTAAAAAAACAAAACAAAAAAAACTAGAGACACATGCTGAGGATTATGGAGCTGCCTGACCATTTGGTGAATTTTCCCCGGGGACCTTCCTGGTTCTCCTGGGCCTTATACCCATCAGACACCTCCCAAGACCAGGTTTAAGGGGCACAAGTAAGACTGAACTATCCCACCAGCCCCTCACCTTTCTTCCCAAAAAAGTCCCAGGCGAAGTGGATTGGTAGAACCTTCTAGGAAAAAAGAAGTCTAAGTTCCCAGCTGCTGGACTTTTGTAAGCTGCGCAGACTTCCTGGAAGCAACGGGAAATGCCCCTGAAGAGAGGCTGCTCCCAGCCCCCGAAAACTCTCACCCTGGAGAGATACTCCTGTCCTCTCCTCCTCATAAGCATGTCACCCCCAGGGGGAATGCCCCAGTTATCTAAGGAGAATTCTTTTCTAGCCCTCACCTCACCCCCTGACCCCCTCTGCGCAGGCCCACCACACAGAGGACAGGAGATCACCTCCGGAGGCAGGCTCTCCTCCAGGCCGGCGCAGGGAGCCAGGAGGTGCTGGGTCAGCTGGGCCTCGATGTCCTCCAGGAAGGCCTTCCGCGCCCGCTGGGCGGCCGAGAGCCTGGAACACAGGGCTGCACCCTCGGGCAGGTAGCTCGGCCTCCTTCTGGGGGGAGGCCGGGGACCTCTGCTGTACCGCTGGGGGGCAGGATGCTCCGGAAGGCCCCGAGTGATCATATTCTCCCAAGAAGGGCAGCCATTCCTGAAGTCATCCAGCCCCTTTTTCACAAACACCCACCGTCTGGTGTTCATGAAGGTGGGATGTAACCGCCTGTCTTCATGTTGTGTGGAAAACTGGGAAGGCACATTCTCTTTACACCTGAAAGAGAACAGGCCCAGCATATGGAACTACAAGGGCCAGGGTGGGAGAAGGGTGGGAGAAGGCTGAGTTCATCGTATGCCTAGTTCCGTGGTCGGCAAACTGCGGCTCATGAGCCACATGCGGCTCTTTGGCCCCTGAGTGTGACTCTTCCACAAAATACCACGGCCTGGGCGAGTCTATTTTGAAGGAGTGGCGTTAGGAGAAGTTTAAGTTTAAAAAATGTGGCTCTCCAAAGAAATGTTAATCGTTGTACTTTTGATAGTTGGCTCTGCTGACTCATGAGTTTGCCGACCACTGCCCTAGTTTATGGCCCATTGTCCCGGTCTGTGTACGGCCTGTGTACGGCCCCTCTCCTGTTTTCCTTATTCTATGTAATCTGTGCATCCCACTCTCATCACTCTCCACCCCAGCGTAAGCAAAGTCACTCTTACGGATTTGTAATGCACCCTTTTGTTTGCACACATTTTTAGAATGCCTGTGCTATCCTTACGTGTGCATGCATTCTTAATTTACATAAATGGTACTGTTTGTTTCCCAAGCCCAGTGTTATAAAGGCCTATTCCTGTCACTGTGTGTAACTCTAATCGTTATCATCAACTGCTGCCACCACTGTCCATCTGTCCCTCCTCTTTGTAAAGGGCACTCACCATGGCGGCCCCTTCTAGGTCTCCTTCCTAGAGCAGTGGTTCTCAACCTCTCTGATGCCGCGACCCTTAATACAGTTCCTCACGTTGTGGTGACCTCCCGCCATAAATTTATTTTCCTTGCTACTTCATAACTGTAATTTTGCTACTGTTATGAATTACAATGCAAATATCTGTGTTTTCCGATGGTCTTAGGCGACCCTGCTAGCGGGGGGCCCACAGGTTGAGAGTCGCTGCTGTAGAGCCTAAGACCATCGGAAAACACAGATATTTACATTACGGATCGTAACAGTAGCAAAATTACAGTTATATGAAGTAGCAACCAAAACAAATTTATGGTTGGGGGTCACCACAACGTGAGAAACTGTATGAAAGGGTCTCGGCATCAGAAAGGCTGAGAAGCACTGGTTCAAAGGGAGACGGTGAGTGGGAAAGCCTGGATCCCGCGACAACTTGCCATGAACTAGCGGAATGACCTTGGCATTTCATTTAACCTATATTATTTTATGTATCAATATCCTGGAAAGAACAATATCAAAGATTTGGAGAACAAACTAATGGTTGCCTAGGGAACCCCTTTAGTTGTGCCACCCCTTTAAATCATCATTCTTTTCTCCACTCCAACCCTTTGCAACTGCTAATTCCTTGAGATGAGAAAACAGTTTTGTATCTTCATGTGTACATATGATAACATTTTACAGAACCATACGCACAGGAATGCAATTAAAAACTGGTAAAATCCAAGTAAGGCTTATATTGTAATTAATACATTGTTCAATGCAGATTTCCCCGCTTTGCCAATGTATTTATAGTTATGTACAAGGAACCCCTGGAAGCAGGTCGGGGAAGGGTACCTGGGACCTCTGCACTGTTTTTGCACCTTCTTGTGAGTCTGTCATTACTTCAACACAAAAAGCTTGTCCATAAAAAAATTAAAAAAGGGAAAAAAGTTTGAAAATGGGCGAAAAGGGAATTCCCAAAGAGCTTATACTTACTACCATGTGTCCAGTACATATCGCGGGTTAGTGACTGCTTCACCTGTACTGTCGGTTACTCCTCACAACAATCCTGTACAACGGATTGTGCTGGTTGTCTCTGTTTTACAGCTAAAACTGAGCCAGAATGCATGCAGATAAGCATAACCAGTAGACGAAAAACTCTGGGGAGGGAGGGCATGTATGGGAGTAGGGGAAGGGGGGGTTGGTAAGGTATGTACACATATAATACCTTAATAAAAAATGAGGAAAAATAAATAAAAATAAAAATGTTAAAATATATATATATATATATATATATATATATATATATATATATATATATATGCCAGAAGGAGCAAGGAACTCGCCAAAGGCCACCGTGCAAGTCAGGGGCGCACTGGCCCTGGACTCCAGCCTTTCCGAGTCTAGACTTGGGGATTTTTACCTCCCCAAGCCCTGGTTTAAAGGGAGACAGTGAATGAGGAACTCCATCCTCATAAACTCAAGGAATCCGCAAAGAAAACAAGTCCTGGCTTCTGCCTGTGGCCAAAACACCCGGCACTCAGAATGGCCGCGGGCCGCCCTAGGTCTGACCCGAGGCCGCCCCCAAACCCGGGCTCAGCTCGCCCCTGGCGGCCAGCGCCCCCGGCGCAGCCCAACTCCCCGGCCGCAGGGCCGCGCTGCCTCGGAGAGGGGTGCGCCTTCACTACACCAGGCTCCACAGGGGGTGCAGGGGCCATCGGGTTCCCTCTGGGACTGGCATTTTCATCTCCATCCCCTGGGGTTGTAAGGATTACGGGAAGAAAGCGTCCTTTGCCATAAACAGCGTCGAGCGCTGGTTATTTTTTATTATAATTATTTGTGTGCTGGGGACCTTGGAGAGGAAAGGCAGGCCGGCCTGCAGCCGCGCTCTGAGTGGCCCCCAGCCACCCCCCTCCCCAGCCGCCCCTCCCCATCCATCTCCCTCTGCCCCCCGCCGGGCCGCGCCCCAGCCCGGGCAGGAGCGGATGCCCACGCATCCCCACGCGCTTACCAGGACCTGCCGTGCACGCCCAGCCTGGCCAGAGGAGCGGGCCTGCACGTTCGCCTGCGGTCTGCCATCGTCACAGCCATCGCGGGCCCGTAGCTCCGTCCGGTGCGTCCGGTCTGGGGTCGCTAGGAGACCGCACAACAGCGACGCGCGATTTGATTTCAGCTCCCAAGCTGCAGGGGCGCCCCGCCTCCTCTCCCCCCACCCTCCTCCCAAGCCGCTTCTCCCCAATCCGGCTCTGCATCTTGCACGCCGGGTCTCCGACACCCGAGGGTGGGGGACCGAGGCAAGGGAAGGGAGAGGACCAGCTCCTTGATTTCATTGTGTTTTAACCTGTTGGGAAGGCGTTTTCATCTTCCCACTGAAATTTATCCTAAGCTGTTTTGCTCGCTACCTTTTCAAAAAATGTTCCTTTTTTTCTTTTCTTTTTTTTAAAATATATTTTATTGATTTTTTTTAACAGAGAGGAAGAGAGAGGGATAGAGAGTTAGAAACATGGATGAGAGAGAAACATCCATCAGCTACCTCCTACACACCTCCCACAGGGAATGTGCCCGCAATCAAGGGACATGCCCTTGAGCAGAATCGAACCTGGGACCTTTCAGTCCACAGGCCCACGCTCTACCCACTGAGCCAAACCGGTTTGGGCTCAAAAATGTTTCTTGAAGGAAAGAAAAGAAGAAGGCAGCTGGAGAGAGAGCAAGAGAGACTGCACATAGAGGGGAATGAATAGACCGATGTCTCGTGGTGAGAAGGCCTTTTAGCAAGAAATGCTTGGGACTGCCTGGGCATCGTGGCCTCTGCCATAGTGGGCTGGGCACGCATAGCTGTGAGTCACCAGCCGCTTTCCAGACTCCATTCCAGCGTGTGTTACTTGATTCTTTTGCCTTGACCCACTTCCAGAAGGGCAATTACCCTCTCAGTTGGCCCTGGTAGGCAGATGCCTATATATATATATATATATATATATGTGTGTGTGTGTGTGTGTGTGTGTGTGTGTGTGTGTGTGTGTTGCATGGGTATCCTTGGGTTTTGCTCATTTCTCTTGCTACTTCTGGAGTGTTTCTGATTTTAAATATTAAGCATTGCTTCCAGAGAAAATAGCAGCAAAGCATTCTCCTGTCTCAAAATTATTGCAGTCATTACATCGTGTCTGTTCTGAGAAAATAATGTCTGTAGTCATTTCAGGATGTCTTCTGATTTTCAGACTATTTGGCAGTAAATTGATCCCACCTTTGGGAAGCCATCAACCATCTGGATTGTGTTAAAGATGTCCTGAGTGGTATTCGTTCCAGCAGCTACACCTGCTGTGTTTAGCTGCCCTCTCTGCACACAATGGAGGGGCCTGGACTCCCACTGCCTGGCTTAGATGAATCATCGCTCTGCAACTTAATGATGCACTCCTGGGCATGGTTACTTAAAGGTTTATAAGCTTCATTGATTTCTTACTCTGAAAGTGGGAGAAATAATAGTTATTGGAGGACTCAAGGAGATAATAAATGCAAAGCACTTAAATCAGTGCTAGCAATACAGAATCCCTCAATAACTGCTGAGCACTGTTATTATCTCAGCTGCGAACTGAGGATTAGGTGTATTTGCCCTGTCTACTTCATAGAGTTGTAGGAGTCAGTTAATGGAGAAAGTTATCAATGTAATCATTATAACTTGCCAATGACTTGTTTTCACTTCTTGATCATATCTTTGATATAGTTTGATTGATTGCAAATTCAAGCTTCATTACTTTGACAAAGTAGGATTTCTCCAAAAGACTGAGGGTAAGGCTCCATGCCTGGCACACAGTTGGTACTCATTCAACAACTAGTGTGTGTTATGGCCATGCTAGGCACCAGGCATGCTAGGCACCAGGCATGCTAGGCAATGGAGAATTAACAGACTTGGTTCTTGGTACTTAGTCTCTAGTGTTTGTTGCATGAATTAAGAAGAGTGCACCTATTTTCATGAATTTTGCATTCTCACAGGATAATATTTTCTCTGTGCAGTAATTTTGTGTTCATATCTGGTAGGAGACAACTAACATTTTTATTTCACCACATTCCATAATTATAGTTATTAGCAGGAAAATCTCTCATATTCTCTCTCTCTCTCTCCCTCTCTCCCTCTCTCTCTCTCTTACAACACAAAGGTAAAATGTGTTGCATATAACCTAATGAGTAGATATTATTTAACAATGAGAATGAGGATGTTCCAGGTAATTTTCTAGCATTATTTCCAGGTAGTGTGACCATTTCATTTCCAAATAAGATTACTTAAATACCTATAACAGGATTGCCCAAAGCTATTACTGCATCTTTCTCACACAAGGATTAATTACTCTCTGTAGCATAATAAAATATACTCAGCAATACTTAGTTATCAGTACTTTCCAGAAAAAGAAGCATTTGAACAACAAAAGCAACAAGAGGTTCAACTGAGACCTCTTGTTGGTCCTGCCTTGGTGGAGCCCTTAGAATCCTCCCTGCAGGACTATCTTGAGCTTAGACAATCTTACCCTCAGCCTAGTTCTTACAGAATTTCTACTGATGTACTCAAAATGGGCATGAACTTGCCAAGAAAAATAACAAAATCTATGAGGAAACAAGACACAATGACTAAGAGTCAGTAGAAACAATAAAAGACAAAATCAGATTGTAGAAACTTTATGTGTTGGAATGTTCAGCTGTAGAATATAAATACATGAGATTAGTTATGTATAAACATATATGTTTATATACATAAAGTAAGCATGCTTAATATGTTTAGTAAATAATAGACAGACTTGAAAATATGAGCAAAGTATAAGCAGCATTTTTAAAAATATATTTGAAAAAGAACTACATAGAACTTATAGAAATGAAAAATATTGTTGCAATTAAAAACTCTGTGGGCTGGTTTACAATAGATTAGACCAGCTCAAGAGAAAATTAGTAAACACAGATAACTCTGAATTAATGCCTGGAGTACAGCAAAATAAGTAAAGAAATAGAAAATATGAAAGATTTGGATGAAAGAGTAAGAAAGTTTAATATACTTCTAATCAGATTTCCATAAGAAGATGGTAGAGAGAATAGGAAAGAGGCAGTATTTAAAAATATAAATGGCTAAGAATTTTCCAGACTTGATTAAAGGTACAAATTCTCAGTTTCAGGAAGAACAACTGACCTCAAATAAGATAAATAAGAATAAAATCTCATATAGCATTTCACCATGAATACAAAAGACAAAAAGCTGACATCAGAAGTAGCCAAATAGAAAAGATAGATTACTTACAAAGGAACAAATAAGTAGACTAAAGCTAACTTCTCAAGCAATGATAGAAGCCAAAGACTAAAATAATCCAGCTTTGAGTGAAAAATAATTATCAATTTAGAATTGTATAATTAGCATAACTATCTTTCAATAACAAGGCTCAAAAACACTTTCAGACAAACAGAAATGGCATAATTTTATCATCAGCAGACCAAAACTAGAGAAAATTTTAAAGGTTCAGGTGAAAAGGAGAAAATGACTATTATAAAATACAATAGAATGTTGAAAAAATATTCTTTTAAAAAGTGGATTGTATAAATTAATAATAATGTCTACTTAGTAGAGATTAACAAAAAAATATTTTTCTGAAATACTGGATTTTTTATTTAACTGAGAGGATGATAAATATATTGATTAGGAAAGTATAAAGGAAGAGGTATCAGACAGATATTAAACAAAAGAAAACTGATATAGTTATATTAATATTAGACAGAATAGAATTAAGGGAAAAAAGATGATTATAGATATATAAAGATTACTAAAGATTATTAGGCATAATGGTAAGAAATTCAATTCACACACATATACACACTAGACAGAGATATACAATTATAAACTTATATCTAATAATATGGGTTAAAATATAAAAAAAATTGATAGACCTCTATAAAAATTGATTAATACATTCTAATAGTACGATTTTAATACAACTCTAAGTAATATATCATAAGGACCAAAAAAAATTAGTGAGGACCAAGGATTCAAAGCTTGATATAATGGATATATGTAGAACTTTGCATCCAACAATTACAAAAAACACATTCTTTTCAAGAACATTTAGAAAATTATATTTGCAAGTTCATAAAGCAAGTTGCAACGTATCTCAAATGGTATCATTTAACTCACACACTGTTAACAATGTGTATACATAAAAGTATTTATTTGAAAATAAAACAAAACAAATAATTTATAGGGGAGTAAGATATCAAAATGGAAATTTAAAAATAAATGTAAAAATATCAAAAATTGTAGGATGCAGCTAAAATGATACTTAGAGTGAAATGACCTTAACTTATAAAACTAAAATAGAGTAAAGGTTAAGACCTAACTAAATGGAAAGACATCCCATGTTCATGGATTAGAAGACTTAATATTAAGTTGACAATACTAACCAAAGTTATATACTAACTCAACCAGTCAGCACATCAGATATATGGAAACAACCCAATTAGAAAATAGGTGAAAGACTTGAATAAACATTTCTCCAAAGGAGATATTGAAATGGCTGATGAGTACATTAAAAGATGTTCAACATCATTAGTCATTAGGGACACGCAAATCAAAATCACAGTTAGATACTATTTCATACTAGGATGGCTATAATAAATAAACAAACAAAACAAGGATTGGTGGTGATTGGAGAAACTGGAACCCTTGTGCATTGCTGGCGGAAATGTAAAATGGTAGAGCTGCTGTGAAAAACAATTTGTCAGCCTTTAAAAAGCTAAATATAGACTTGACATATGATCCAGCAACTCCACTCCTAGGTGTTTAAAAAATATATTTAAAAACAGAGACTCAGCCGGGACTGGTTTGGCTCAGTGGATAGAGCGTCGGCCTGCAGACTGAAGGGTCCCTGGTTCGATTCCGGTCAAGGGCATGTTCCGTGGTTGCGGGCACATCCCCAGTAGGGGGTGTGCAGGAGGCAGCTGATCGATGATTCTCTCTCATCGATGTTTCTAGCTCTCTATCCCGCTCTCTTCCTCTCTGTGAAAAATCAATAAAATATATATTTTTTAAAATAAAATAAAAAATAAAAATAACAGAAACTCAGATATTTGTTCATCAATATCAGCATCCTTTCTAATAAAAGAGTAATATGCAAATTGGCCATCACTCCAACACACAAGATGGCTGCCCCATGTGGACACAAGATGGCTGCCACAAGATGGCCAGCAGGGAAGGGCAGTTTGGAGGGATCAAGCCTGGATGGGAGGGCAGTTAGGAGTGACCAGGCCTGCAAGAGAGGTCAGTTATGGGCAAACAGGCTGGTAGCGGAGCAGTTAGTAATCAATC